AACCAGCTTCTTGTCCTGTTGATTGTTTCTATAGTTTTTCTGTTTTCTATCTCATTTATTTCTGCTCTAATCTTTATTATTTCTTTTCTTTTGGTGGATGTAGGTTCCCTCTGTTGGTCTGTTTCTGTTTGTTGTAGATGCTGTGTTAATGTGTTAATTTTGGTTCTTTCTTCTTTTCGTCCTCTCAGCACCGCTTTCGTCATGTCCCAAAGATACTGATATATTGTGTTTTGGTTCTCATTTATTTCTAGGAGCTTTGTGAATTCACATTTAATTTCTTCTAGTACCCAGTTGCTTTTCAGCAGGGTGTTATTCAGTTTCCATGTATTTGACTGGATTTCCTTGGGCTTCTTATTGTTGATTTCTAATTTGATAGCATTGTGGCCTGAGAAGATGCTTTGTAGTATTTTGATATTTGTAAATTTATGGAGATTTGTTTTGTGGCCTAAAACATCGTCTATTCTGGAGAATGTTCCATGTGCAATGGAAAAGAATGTGTATTGTGCAGTTGTTGGGTTGAATGCTCTGTGCACATCTATGAGATCCAGTTGGCTTATTATGTTGTTTAGTTCTTCTGTGTCTTTGTCAAGTTTCTTTCTGGTTGTTCTATCCATTTTTGAAAGCGGTATATTAAAATCATCCTCTATTATTGTAGATTCATCTATTTCTTCCTTCAAATCTATTAGAGTTTGCTTTATATATTTTGTAGCTCTTTCATTGAGAGAATAGATATTTATTATGATTATTTCATCTTGTTCAATTGTCCCTTTAATTATGAGATAATGTCCATCTTTATCTATTATGCTGGTTTTTGCCTTAACGTTTATTTTATCAGAGATTAGTACTGTCACTCCTGTTCATTTTTTATTACAATTAGCTTGGTATATTTTTTCCCATTTTTTGACTTTCAATCTGTTTTTGCCTCTGTGTGTGAGATGTGTCTCTTGCAGACAGCATATTGAAGGATCTTGTTTTCTTATCCATTCTGCTACCCTCTGTCTCTTAACACGTGCATTTAATCCATTTATATTCAGTGTAACTCCATTAGCCCCCCCCCCCACGCTAATGGGGGGGCGGCGGCTGAACGGTGTGCAAGAACTGCTCATACCTGGTGGAGGTGTTAAATGAAACCCAGATCATGGAGCGGCGGGGTGAGAGGTGTCTGGAGACCAGGTCGACAGGGGGACACTGCCTAGAGGGAAGAGACTGCAGTGGCCAGCCAGGCTGTCCTACTTACCCCGTGAGGGCACCATCCTAGCCTAGCCGTTGGATCGTGGCTTTGAGGCGGGGTCAACCAACTTAGAGACCCACAAGCGCAGCCCAAAGCATCTCATTACAACCCTGTCACTCCTGCTGCACTTCGCCTCTTGACTGACGTGACATCCAAGGACGGAAATCCCACCTTTGAGCCGGACTTAAGGGCCATAGCGCAAGGAGATTCGTGTTTAACAGTGAACACACAACTGCCACTCGTCTGTCTGTCGTGCTGTGGTGGTTTGAATTGCTGTGATTCTGAGGGCTATGCCACCGGTATTTTAAATAACCAGCAGGGTCACCCATGGTGGACAGGTTTCAGATGAGCTTCCAAATAAAGACAGACTAGGAAGAAAGAGTGACAAACTACTTCCGAATCGCTAGTCACTGAAAACTCTATGAATAGCAGAGAAACACTGTCAGATACAGAGATACAGGACCGGAAGGTGGGAAGGCACTCAGAATGCGACTGGGGAAAAAAAAATGCCTCCTCCAAGTAGAGAAAAGCTCACAGAACCTTCATTTGCTAATGGGCCATGAATCAAAATGAAGAGAAACAGCTGTAAACATCCACTGAAAATCACAACATGGAATGTATGATGTATGAATCTGGGAAAATTGGAAGTTGTCAAAAATGAAATGGAACACATCAACATCAATATCTTAGGCATTAGTGAGCTGAAATGGACTGGTATGGCCATTTTGAATCTGAAAACCACATGGTTTACTATGCAGGGAATGACAAGTTGAAGAGGAATGGTGTTGCATTCATCGTCAAAAAGAACATATCCAGATCAGTCATGAGGTACAATGCTGTAAGTGATAGGATAATATCCATGCACCTACAGGGAAGCCCAGTTAATACCACTATTATTCAAATTTATGCACCAACCACTAAAGCCAGTGAAGTTGAAATAGAAGAATTCTACCAACTTCTTCAATCTGAAGTTGATCAAACATGCAATCAAGATGTATTGCTCATTACTGGTGATTGGAATGCAAAAGTAGGGAGCAAAGAGGAGGGACCAGTAGCTGGAAAATTTGGACTTGGTCTTGCTGTTTGGTCTTGCCCAATATGTTGGCTCTGGGCCTCTGAGCCCAGCCCAGCACATTCAAAAGTTCACATTTTTTACTTCAGCTTCAAGTTCCACAATCTATAAGCCTTCAAACCTTCAAAATATTCGTATCTCTGTGGTTCCGAGTTTTGGAGCTCTGCCCTGGATCTGCTTTGCCTGGTATTCTTTGTTATTTCTGACAGCGAACTTCACTGTACCTCCACCCTATCCTCCATGAAGCCCCACCTCTGGTCCTCCACTTCTTGACTTGACCTCTGCCATGCTCTGGAAATACTACAAAGATCCTTTAGTGCTGCTGATAAATGCCCAGTGGGCATCCATTCTGCCATAAGTCTCATTCTGAAGGTGCTCAATTCTAGCTCTAGCAAACCAAGAGGTCAGCAAACCTAGCTCGCCCAGTTGAGTGCCTTTTGGCCCTTTGCTCTGCAAGAAACCATCCTGCTCAAAGGCACTCAAGTTGACATGTTTCATGGGCCAGGTAGCCCAACACACTGTCTTATGCTTGGCCATTCCTACTGCTGCAGCGGTTCCTCTACTACACTTCTGCTGCTCCTCTGGTGTCAAGCTTTCTATCCCCGGATCAAGGAGGTTCAGTGCACGGTGATTTTGGTGTCAAAAGGACATGCTTAACTCATGGTTCTTGCAAAGTGACGGTAATAAGATGTTGTTGTTGTTATGTGCCGTGGAATCGGTTCCGACTCATAGCGACCCTATACAGGGTTTCTGAGGCTGTAAATTTTTACGGGAGCAGAAATGCTCATCTTTCTTCCACAGAACAGCTGGTAGTTTCTAATTGCTGACTTTGAGGTTCGCAGCCCGATTTGTAACCACTACGATACCAGAACAAACGTAGATGACTCATTTTATATGCAGTAGGATGGCAGACATGACCTATCCACATGTTTGAGATGTAGAGTTCTAAGTTTTAAATTTGCACTGCAGGATGATGCACTGAACCACAAGTTGGTGGTTCAAACCCACCAGCCACTCCTTGTATACTCTACACAGGGTCACTATGAGTCGTAACCAACTAGATGACACTTACCAAGGAAGTTTTTAACAAATGCTGTCAACAGTAACTTACAATTGAATCATATAATCCTACCAGCATCTTTCCCTGTTTTCTCTTAATGCAGACCCAGCAGGGAAATGTCATTTAATAAGAGTTACAAAAAAGAGCCACATCAAATAATTCGACACTCCACAAAGCTCCTATAAACACTGTGTTCATGCTTTGTGTAGAGGAGCATGATTGCTCAATTGTTTAGTAAGAGTGTGTTTACCTTTGTAAGAAACTCAAAAGTATCCTGTTATTCCATGTTCTCACCAGAATTTGGTGTTCATTGTTTTGGACTTTAGTACCTTTGTAGTGGCAATTTTTGTTGTTGTTTTAACTTGTAATTCCCTTTCTTGTTGTTAAGTACCAATGAGTACATTTGGACTCATAGCGACTCTATACATTAGGTTTTCAAGGAGTAGCTGGTGGGTTTATCTGTAATCCAACATCACCACACTGAGACTCACTTTCTCTGTCTCTCTCTGTCTCCCTCTCTCTCTCCTCTTGCTCTCTCTCTGTCTCTCTCTCTCTATATATAGTGATGTTGGTTGTGTGCTGTGGAGTTGGTTTTAACTCATAGTGACCCTGTATAGGGTTTTTGAGGCTATAAATCGTTATGGGAACGGAAAGCCGCATCTTTCGCATGTGGAACAGCTGGTAGTTTCGAATTGCTGACATTGAGGTTATCATAATCACGATGCTACCAGAACGCCTTCTTTCACTCTCTCTCTCTCTACACACAAACACACACACACATATATATGTGTGTACATATGTAAATACACAAACGCACACACACACACACACACACACACACACCCATACATACATATATGTGTTTGCTGAAACCCTCAGTAAGAACCATATATGCTTTATAGGATATTATTAAGAATTGCTTATCTGTGGTTCTCCAAAGACTAATGTGTTGTTATGTGTGTACCATAGAGTGTGTTCTCGCTCTGAGAGACCTTACAGGGCAGAGGACATGTGATCTCTCCAGGGTTTTCTGTGCTGCAATACTTTTGTGAATTCAAACCACCTAACTTTCTATTAGTAGCTGAGCACTTATACATTTTGCCAAGAGGGCTCCTTGTTGTTGTTGTTAAGTACCATCTAGTCTGTTCCAACTCCTAGCGACCATGTACAGGGTTCCAAGGAGCGACCAGTTGAGTGCTTATCTTACAGCACCACACCAGGACTACTAGTCTAGTATTCCGATGTATATCTGTCTTCAATAAGTACAATTGAAAAGTATTATTCTACTCATTTCTTTTGGGGTACAGTATGTATTTGGAGGACAAAAAAGAAAGGTAGGCCTTTTGTTTTCTTAGTAAATGTATCCCCCTTCGCAAAGGAAGCTTCTCCCAGTATTTCCACAAGGTTTAAAGCTATTTGTATATTCTAAGGAGCCCAACAAACTCTCATGAATCCTCACTGATGGTCATCCTGGGTCTCACCTTTACTTATTGGCTTGCACTCAGGAATCATTTCATGATTTCTGCTACAACAGTGGTTGGTGGGTGTGTGGTGAGAAATGTTGTAACTGGGGAGGACCTATAACTCCTTCATTCATGTTTTCTCCTCTCTCTCTAGGATGTGAATGGCATTATAAAAAGGTATGTTTGGGTGACCAGGAAGATGCCTTTGCTGTGAAGAGAGGTTGTAAAAGTGAAATTTGTCTGATGGTCAAGCAAGATGAAAAAAATCCCCAAACAGGAAAATGTAGATGCCATTTTATCATAAATTTCCAATCACAAAGCAGGTTTGAGTGTTAAAAATGGAACAAATTCTAGGGTAAAGAATTGGTGTGATAGGAGGTCACAGAGAAGGGGTAACAGACCCTAGTGACTTCACTCATTTTTATCACCTTGTGTATCTGCATCAACCTCCGGTTCCCATATTTCATTGTTGTTTGCCTTATATTTCTCCTTTAGATTTTCACAAGCGGACTCCATACTAGGGAAAAATATTTTGACCCTGATACAAAAATTGATCAATCTTGGACACCCCCCTTAGAAGTCCAATAATATACAATGACTTGAATATATTAAGTATCTTGTGAATTCTTTTCAGAGCAGTACAAGTTTGGTGTTTGCATCTACTTCCTCCAAAGTGTTTGTTACTCTTCCCCAGAGAACCTGAACCCTCAGATGTAATTATGAGGGCTAGGAAGCTACTGGAGGAACAGACTTTGCTGTCTCCTGAGCTGCATTAGATGGGATTGTCACACTTCATTTTTCTCAAACCCCAAAGAGACAGGTTCTGTAGCTTCACTTTCTGGCCATTTTTTTTTCTAAAAAATTCCCATCTATCTGACTTTTCCACACACTGGATATTATTTTGTAGAAATAACAATGTAGCTTTAATTTTCTGTGTTCATTTTAATCTATAGTTTCATACAACTTTACATGACTCCTAGGAGATAAAAGGAGAGGAGTTAATTATTTCATTATAGAAGGAAAAAAAAACTATACTACTGAGAGGCCTGCCTTCACAAGGTGTACACAAAATAGAAAAATCCACATATGCGCACGTGTCTTCCGGGACTACAGTCAATTTACTCCCCTCTTCCCTTAGGATCTTCAGGAAGGAAGGCTCAAGAGAATCAAAAGGGTGGCAATAGTAAGGTAATAATTTTGAAGGCACGTAACTTCTTTCTTAGGTGTGAGAAACTTACTGTGAAGAGGTCAAAAACCTTTCTCAATAAACAGAGGAAAGGATCCCAAGCTGTAGATCTGAGGGGAATGCTGCAAGTATTTAAAGAACTTAGAGGTAAGGAGCATCTGGGGCAGGGTGTGTATGATTCTTGTTGTGGCAGGGACAAAATCAGAAACAGGGTCAATAGGAAAAGAAGGGGGCCAGACATTGTTCATGATGTGAGATTTACAAGGGAATGAGCTGGTCCTCTCAATTATAAATTCATTGCTTCATCATAATTCCCTCTCATTATCTGGAGAGGAAATAGCTTTCTTTGCTGATACTTTGGCTTACTTTAAGAATCATGGTGTGTTTTGTCATTTCAGAGCTGGCGGATGCACAACGCTACTGGGGTAAGGAGAAATCACAGTACCTTCAAGCCAAGAAATTCTTGTCAACTTTCTTCATTGTTCGTTCACCTATAGGTCTCACTCTGATATGTATGTATCCTCTTCTAGTATGCACCTACATACTATACTTCCCTGGTGTTCTGTCTCTCCTTGTGACCCATGAACCAGGTCCTTCCAGTTCCCTCTCATGTTCTCCTAAAGACCCCTCTCTTTATATTGCAAATGAATCTACTTCATATGCTTCTACCCTTTAATTGTCTTACAGTAGACATGACCCTGATACCAATGAACTCTTCTTTGGATATTGTCATTTCTGAGGATAGGAAACAAGCAAGAGTTGAGAAAAAGCCAACACGTGCACATCATGTTAGTGAGTATCTTTCCATGGACTACCTGTAGATTGAATCAGAGAAACATTACTGGGGAAAGTCCCTGGGCCCAGAGGATAGATTCAGCCATTTCCCCAGTGTTCTACCTCTCCCTATGAGCCCTGAACAAGGTTCTTTCCTGTTCCCTCTCCTGCTCTCAAGATTCCTCTCTAATGGTCACAAGTCAGTTTGCTTCATATCTTTCTACCCTTTATTGTCTTACAGGAAACTCTGTGTTTGGTTTTGGCATGGGCAGTGAATTTTCAAATTATCAACATAAAGGTATTAACAGTGGTTATAATCCTATCAGAGGCTCCCTGTGTATCAACTCAGGGAAACATTATTGGGAGGTGAATGTATCTGGAAAAACTGCCTGGATCCTAGGAGTATGCTGTGTCAGAAGACCTGACCTCAATATGGGGTTAAATTTTAACCAAATTGAACTTCAAAATGTTTATTCCAATTATCAACCTCAGTATGGCTACTGGGTTATCGGGTTACAGAATCAGTCTCAGTGTACTGCTTTTGAAAATGATTCTTCCTTTAATGGCGTGAATTTGGTCCTTTTCCAAACCATTCCTCCCTGTCATGTTGGGGTTTTTATAGACTATGAGGCTCGTACAGTTTCGTTTTTCAATGTCACAAACCATGGGTCCCTCATGTACAAATTCTCTAATTGTTGCTTTTCTACGACTGTTTGTCCTTATTTCAATCTAAAGGAATGTGCAAATCCCATGTCTCTGTGCTCACCAGGCTCCTGAGCCATCTTATCTCCTTAGCACTCTGCTTAGTCCCCTTCTCCTATCCTCAGCACCTGCATCAGAATGCACTGCCACCATTGTGACCCTCTCCTACTCTCTCCCTCCTTTTCCTTTTAAATGCCCTTCCTTCATCCATGGAATATACAAGTTACCCTGAGTCTTTTTCTTCCCCACAACTTACTTAAGAGAGAATTCTAATTCATAATTTTTCTTATTTACAAACAAATATGACTAATTCTTCCTAAAACTAAGATAGAAATGGCATAACAGCTCTGTCAACTCTAACTCGTCATTTGCTGTGTAACAGATCTGAGATGGGGCAAAGCTTTCAATCATCGATGTTACAGACTGTGTATAGGAGCCACTTGCTAAATAATGAATCAGTAGGGATGTGTCAATTTACCCATGTTGTGCATATTCATCAAAAATTAAAGGAAAAAGAGCATGCATATGTAGAAAGAGTATAAGTTTTGTGGCCAAACTGTATGCATTTGAAGTCTATGTCTCCACATATTAGCAGTATAACCTTGAATAATATGCTTAAATGTCTTTGTTTATTTTCTGAAAATCCTTTTGTCATTAAAAACTTTTGCTAATACTTAAAAATAATGGGAAAATGTCAGTGTTATCAAATGTAAAATACTTGTATGTTTCAATAATGTTTTCTCTTCTTATTGCTAATGAATATAACCTATGTTGGTATGAAGTGTCATTTCTATTTTAAATTTGCTATATATATATATCCACCCCTTGTTTGTTAATTTGTCATACTGCTGAGAGCAGATAATACAAGAAAGATGTTTACTTGTGCTTTATTCACTATGCAAAGCCTTACACTGTACATAATGATAACCTTTGGGTAACATTGCAAAGAATGGGTATTCCAAAAGCACTTAAATGTGCTTACAAGGAACCTGTACATAGATCCAGCAGTGGTTGTTAGAATAAGGAAATACTGAATAGTTTAAAATCAGGAAAGGTATGTGCCAGGGTGTATCTTTTCACTGTACTTGTTCAATCTGTATGCTGAGCAAATAATCCAAGAAACTGGGTTATATGAAGAAGAACATGGCATCAGAATTGGAGAAAGACTCATTAACAACTTGTGATATGCAGATGATACCACCTTGGTTGTTGAAAGCAGAGGATTTATGGTATTTATTGATGAAAATCAAACACTACAGTCTTCAGTGTGGATTGCACCTTACTGTAAAGAAATTAAAAACCCTTACCACTGGACCAATAAGTAACATCATGGTAAATGGAAAAAAGATTGAAGTTGTTAAAAAACTTCAGTTTGCTTACTTGTGGAAACGTACTCATGGAAACAGCAGGAAATCACATGATTGCCTTAATGGCTTGATAATCAGAATTCGACTAGAGCAAGATAAAAAAAAAAAATTTTTTTTGACAAAGGAAATGAGGGTTAATTGCTATAATTTGATGAACTTATATGAACTTTTATGAACATGGAGGTAGTAACTCAAAATACCAACAGAGAGGGAAGGAGTCTTCACATCAAGTATCAATGCTATCCCCTCTGTATTCAGGGTAGATAGGGATGGGTAACTTAGACATTGGATACCTAAAATGAAGGGGCAATAAAGACATGCAGTAACTGGCTTACATGGTTTCAAGAAGGTGTTTAGATTGAGACTGTGTATGGGAATATAGAGTCCCCACTGAATAGTTTTCATATTGTCTAGATGGGTCTTGTGAAAAGAGATGGGGATAAGATTCAATAGTAATTGTTATCATGGCTAATTACAACTGTCACCATTCTAAAGGTAGTTTTGTAACAACAACAACAAAAAAAAAAAAAAAACAAAGGAAATCTTACAGTCCAGAAACAGAGGACCCTAGGACCAAAAGGAGAGATGAGCACAAGCAGAATGCAGGACCTTATCCAGAGGAGCAGTGACACCAGAGATGGAGGCAGAGATGGGGACATGGAAAGGGAGCAGCTGAGGACTCTAGATTCATGGAGAGAGGGACTCAGAGCTGCCATCCAGGAAGCAGACTTGCAGAATGTGCCCTTTGTTGTTTTAAATTATATATACCTGAGTGTTAAAAACAAAACAAAACAACAACAACAAAAAAACAGCTGAAAGGACTAGACATACTGTTAACTCATGGTACATGGGGAGATTACACTCATTGTAATGAAACAAAGTATATGATTTGTTGAATGTAAAACTGATGATCTGCCATGTAAACTTTCACACAATTCACAATAAAAAAAAAAAATCAAGTGATGTATTGCATTAGGCAGATGCTACTCAAGCACTCCTTGATGTATTAAAGAGCAAAGATGTCAATTTGAGGACTAAAGTATACCTGACACAAGCTATAGTATTTCCAGTTGTCTCATATGCATGTGAAATTTGGGCAGTGAATTAAGGAAGATCAAAGAAGACCCATGAACCTGAGTTGTGGTCTTGGAGAAGAGTAATTATTGAAAATACCATAGACTGCCAGAACACATTTGTTGGAAGAAGTACAACCAAAAATTTACAAGCCAGGATGGTGAGATTTCATCTCTCATACATTAGAACATGTCAGTTCCTGGAGAAGGACATCCTGCTTGATAAAGTAGAGGTACAGCAAAAAAGAGGAAGACCCCTAATGAGATGGGTTAGGATAGTGTCAGCAGCAATGAGATCAACCATAGCACCAATTGGAAGGAGGGTGCAGGACCAGGCAGTGTTGCATTCTGTTATGCATAAAGTTGAGTTGGAATAAATTCAGCAACACCTAATAACAGCATACATATAGTCTTAGTGTCATCGAATTGAAATCGGTACTGGCTCATAGCAATTCCATACAGGGCTTCCAAGGCTGTGTATCTGCATGAAGCAGAACGCCTCATTGTTATCCCCAATTGGCAGTTTCATGGTACTTTAAAAAAAAAAAAAAAAGTACAGCCAACTCAGAAGATGATAGCAACTATTTTTTAGGGATTCTCAAGCGATAATAGTGACCATTCTTTTTGAAGACCTGCAGAGGACGATCAGGAAGAAGTTTTAAGAATGAAAACTGCTTTGGTTAGAAAAAGAGCAGGAAAGTTGCCCCTGCTCATTATCCTTGGGTAACTAGGGCTGTCTAAGAGAATTTTATTGGGAAACCTTACCCCATCTGCCTTGTTGATCTTGTCCCTTCAGACTCCTTTTGCTCCCCATTCTTAACATGTAAAAAGAGACACAGAGAGAGAGAGAGAGAGAGAGAGAGAGAGAGAGAGAGTCCTGGTGTGGTGCTGTGGGTTAATGCGCCAGACTGCAAAGTCATTTGAAGTGTCAGGTTGTCGGTTCAAGTTCACCAGCTGCTTCTCAGAAACCTATACAGGGTCGCTATGGGTCGAAATCTACTCGATGGCACTTAACAACAGCAACAACATATATATATATATATATACACACAAGAGGGATTTAAAAAGTTGATGGAAATGTAATTTTTCATAAATTTTTTGAAGTCCCCTTATATAAATCTATGTTTATTCAAAATATTATTGCATAATCTATGAGCATATTTTGCATTTGGAAGGACCTTGGAGGTGCGGTGGTTAAAAAGCTCAAATGCTAATTAAATTAGTTGGAGGTTCAAACCCACTAGCTGCTATTAGGGATAAAGATGTAGCCATTTGCTCTGTGAAGATGAAATCCTTGGAAACCCTATGGGCTGGTTCTACTTTGTCCTGCTGGGTTACAGTCAGAAGTGACTCACTGGCAGTGGATTTTGTATATATATATAACCACTTTTAGTTTATATTCCAAAGTTGAGTTTGAAAATTGGTGTTATGCAAAACTTCTGTGTAGCAATCATGCTACCTTGTATTCCTGGAGTTGCAGATTGTGCTAGATCATTAAATAGGCAGGTGTGCGTCTTCAGTGGGAAGTTTGGTTGAGTTCAGTTGTATCTCAGCACTTCAAGAGCCTTCTTCATCCTGCAGGATTGTTCATGGTCATTGTATGCTGGTATCTGAGAGGGACAAGGGTAATCACATCTTTGTGATTACAAGATACAAATGATACGTGCCCAATCTGAAGACACATTTTTGTTTGTTTTGTGCAGCACAGAACCAGATACATCATAAGTGCTGTGATTCTAGTACCAATGGTGCATTCTGATATGGTTGATGAGAGAGACTGAATGTGAGGTCTGAAATGTAAAGGAAAATGTAATTGTTATTGTATACAAAATTTAGAAAATGTACATTTTCTTTCTTCCTGGAATTATTCAACTTCCATATTTGGAGATATGCAAATAATTGATGTAACAATAGCACCACCTCTCAGTGAGTTTGCTTGTTTTAGTGGTAGCAATATAAAACAAATTCTTAAAAGAAAGTCAGTCTGAAGGAAAATGGGAAATACAATATTTATAAAATTTTATTTTCTAAATACTTACTTGGACTTCTGGTGTGTTGATGTGGATCAGCACTGAACTGAGAACCACAAGGTTGTGAATTCAAACCCACCAGTGGCTCCTTGGAAACCCTATACAAGGTCGCTGTGAGTTGGAACCAACTTGACAACACTTAACAACAACAGCAACAAATTCTCATTTATTTCTTCACGGAATTGCTCATTTTATTATATAGAGAGACATATAGAGAACTTCATAAAATGCTCTGATAAACATCCTTTGTTTTTTGTTTTTTTGAAGAAAAATTTAGAAATACATTGTTGCAAAACAAACATTTATTTTGCAGAATAAATATTGAATTTTACTGTGCCAATACCTCATCTATTTGCATATGTAGAGTTATATCAATCAGTGTGTCCCTTACAACAGACAATAAAAAATAAAACTCACTTGATACATAAAACTTTTTGTCTTAGATAAATATTAGTATCACCAGTGCCCCAATATTTTTGGATGTTTGTTATATTTTATAAACAACCTAGTATAAAGCTAACATAGGTAATAATTGTAAATTATTATCTATATTAGTGTTATATTAGATTGTATCCATGTATATGCCAAACATGTATTAAAATTAA